GCAGATGGGAGAGTCTGTGTCGGCGTTACAGCTGCAGATGGGGGAGTCTGTGTCGGCGTTACGGCTGCAGATGGGGGAGTCTGTGTCGGCGTTACAACTTCAGATGGGAGAGTCTGTGTCGGCGTTACAGCTGCAGATGGGGGAGTCTGTGTCGGCGTTACAGCTGCAGATGGGGGAGTCTGTGTCGGCGTTGCAACTGCAGATAGGGGGGTCTGTGTCGGCGTTACAACTGCAGATGGGAGAGTCTGTGTCAGCGTTACAGCTGCAGATGGGAGAGTCTGTGTCAGCGTTACAGCTGCAGATGGGAGAGTCTGTGTCGGCGTTACAGCTGCAGATGAGAGGGTCTGTGTCGGCGTTACAGCTGCAGATGGGAGAGTCTGTGTCGGCGTTACAGCTGCAGATGGGGGTGTCTGTGTCGGCGTTACAACTTCAGATGGGAGAGTCTGTGTCGGCGTTACAGCTGCAGATGGGAGAGTCTGTGTCGGCGTTACAGCTGCAGATGGGGGAGTCTGTGTCGGCGTTACAACTGCAGATAGGGGGGTCTGTGTCGGCGTTACAACTTCAGATGGGAGAGTCTGTGTCAGCGTTACAGCTGCAGATGGGTGAGTCTGTGTCGGCGTTACAACTTCAGATGGGAGAGTCTGTGTCGGCGTTACAGCTGCAGATGGGAGAGTCTGTGTCGGCGTTACAGCTGCAGATGGGGGAGTCTGTGTCGGCGTTACAACTGCAGATAGGGGGGGTCTGTGTCGGCGTTACAACTGCAGATGGGGGAGTCTGTGTCGGCGTTGCAACTGCAGATAGGGGGGTCTGTGTCGGCGTTACAACTGCAGATGGGAGAGTCTGTGTCAGCGTTACAGCTGCAGATGGGGGAGTCTGTGTCGGCGTTACAACTTCAGATGGGAGAGTCTGTGTCGGCGTTACAGCTGCAGATGGGAGAGTCTGTGTCGGCGTTACAGCTGCAGATGGGAGAGTCTGTGTCGGCGTTACAGCTGCAGATGGGGGAGTCTGTGTCAGCGTTACAGCTGCAGATGGGGGAGTCTGTGTCGGCGTTACAACTTCAGATGGGAGAGTCTGTGTCAGCGTTACAGCTGCAGATGGGAGAGTCTGTGTTGGCGTTACAGCTGCAGATGGGGGAGTCTGTGTCGGCGTTACAGCTGCAGATGGGAGAGTCTGTGTCGGCGTTACAACTTCAGATGGGAGAGTCTGTGTCGGCGTTACAGCTGCAGATGGGAGAGTCTGTGTCGGCGTTACAGCTGCAGATGGGGGAGTCTGTGTCGGCGTTACAACTGCAGATAGGGGGGGTCTGTGTCGGCGTTACAACTGCAGATGGGGGAGTCTGTGTCGGCGTTGCAACTGCAGATAGGGGGGTCTGTGTCAGCGTTACAACTTCAGATGGGAGAGTCTGTGTCAGCGTTACAGCTGCAGATGGGGGAGTCTGTGTCGGCGTTACAACTTCAGATGGGAGAGTCTGTGTCGGCGTTACAGCTGCAGATGGGAGAGTCTGTGTCGGCGTTACAGCTGCAGATGGGGGAGTCTGTGTCGGCGTTACAGCTGCAGATGGGGGAGTCTGTGTCGGCGTTACAACTTCAGATGGGAGAGTCTGTGTCGGCGTTACAGCTGCAGCTGGGAGAGTCTGTGTCAGCGTTACAGCTGCTGATGGGGGAGTCTGTGTCGGCGTTACAGCTGCTGATGGGGGTGTCTGTGTCGGCGTTACAGCTACAGAGGAGAAACAATAAAACTAAACAGACGACACAACAGGAAACCCTGGCATCCGCTTCGGCCATATACACTTTACACACTGGAGCTGGGCAGCTTACGAGGAATAGATTAGCTGATTTTCAGGATGTAAACCTTCATGGTTCAAGACAATTTACATTTGGAAGTATCATTTTGTTCACTGGGTTGAGAAAACAATTGAAAGTGTACCTTCTAAGTAGTATAAATGAGTGCCAAAATTACAGATGAAAGTTTCATTATAAACAAATAATGTGTTGATAATAGGGATGTATTGTAGGGCAAAATGGCTTTTTGAATATGAATGCTGCGACTGCTTCAGTAGCATAGGTACATATGTAGGCGTCATTCACACTGTCAAGCCACCGTGTGGTTCATGTGATACATTAGGCTATATTAGAGATAATGATTTTCAATCTCGACATCACTTACACTTTGATGTGGGTGGTAAGCCTGAAGTGACAGCAATGTCACGGCGTGACAGCAAATGTTTTTGGAAAGCCTAAAGTGACGGCTATGTCACGGCGTGACAGCAAATGTGGGCGGTAAGCTTAAAGTGGAAGTAGCTGTGTCGCGGTTTGTCAGTCAGTGGGTGGTGGGTGAGTCAGTCAGTAAGATTTATCACCAGCTTGATGTGCCAACATTTTTCGGAAAACCCAAATCGTTTCAGGTCCTAGATGTTTATCACTTGGGTAAAACCCATGAGCAATGACATGTGGTGCTGACTAATACACGACTGTGGGGCACAACTCTTCACAGCGAACTGCTTCCCCTAGGACGAGCACAATTAGTCATCTTTCACGTCAGAATGTGAAACCTTAAACCTCAGACCAGTCACATAGTGTGAACCATCGATACTCATTAAACTGCCGGGCAAATGTGTACAGCTATGTTTGATGATGGCTACAAATGATACAAGCAAGAAATAATCTTTCGATGGTGACGTATTTGATACGGGTATCATAGTTGTGTTTTGGACCTGAAGTTTGCAGTGTTTCGCGACTGTTTTCAGCCAAGTAACGTTTTGATAACGTTAATATATTTTTGTCAAATTCAGTTTTCACGTGTATGCTTTTTTGCCCGGCAGTGTAATCATATAGTTCAACAAACAAAAGGTACTAACGTTCAATAGATGGATGTTTGTGAACAGTGGAATACACGTGGGCTGACACATGTTTTCTATACAACATTTATATGACATCAGACCGCCTCCGTGGTCTAGTGAAAAGAGCTATTGCCCGGAGAGCGGAAGGTCCTGAGTTCGATCCCCGGCCGCGTCAAACCAAAGGACGTTCAAAGATGGTACTTGTTGTTACCCTGCCTGGCGCTCGGGATTAAGGGACTTAAACAAGGACTGGTCAGTGTGCTGTGTCGGAGTGGGGTATTAATGTTAAACTACGGCATGGTATCTCAGTGGGATAGCACTATAAATCGACATCAGTGCGGAATAGTAAACGCACACACACAAATGTATACACACACGTGCATGCACGTCGCAATATATGTTAAACAATCTTTAACGCGACGTTTAAGCCAATTTCACCTAACCCCATATGACATCATCCATAGACTAGAGTTTATAAGCGACATATACTCATTCTCTACATGATGACAAGTCTGTGATATGTTCACCAAAAGGAAGGGCAATTCGAGAGACACAGCATGTTTCCTTGTACTCCAAGTTGAATTTGGGGGGAACCGGATGTCACCATGTCGCCAAGAGTGGGTGAATATCAAGGAGCTCCATATTCGTGACAATATTAACACTTGACAGAGAGCTTCCGTCCTGGTTGAACGTCACTATTCTTGGAGAAAGGAGAGTTGTAATGAGAAAGTGATACATGTAGGCAAAGAATATATATTTATCCTGAGTTAAAGAAAATTTACAGTAAACTATAGATATGGGATTATATCATTTATAAAGCATATTAAAACAATTATCTTGAAGGAAAAAAGACTAAAAGCAATATTTGTGACAGAAAACGTTAAACCTACTCATATTCCGGAAACTACCGAGACTTAATGAGCAGAGTTGTTATCACGTGACGTGGCGTCATAGCGGAGAGTTGACTTGCAAACAATCACTGATTCTGTATAGTGTTTGGTAGATTACTAGCGTTTGCCATGGCATCACCTGACAATGCCGTCGTTAAGAAAGTTGACTTTTCACTCAATGACCTTACACATATCGATATAAGCCAGTGGTTAGTCAAACTTGTCTTGACAGCAGCGAAGAAGATCTACCGAGTGAAGGCGATCAGTCCGATATCAACACGGAAAGACTAGGGAACACAATCTGGCGTTAAACGCTATGCTGAAATTTCTAAATAAAATGGATGTACAGTAAACTACGGTAATAATGAACACGCTTATAACGAACTAACGGATATAACGAACTAACTTATTAGTCCCGACTATATGCTGTAGTTATGCTGTATATATGCTTATAACGAACTACGGTTATAACGAACTAAAATTAGTAGTCCCTTTGAGTTCGCTATAACCGTAGTTTACTGTATGTCAATAATAAAAAATCGTGAGACTGTTATTCTTTTGTAAAATGGTGTAGATTGACGTTTAGCATTGTCAAAACATTATTAAGTGTGTTGTCTTTATGCCAAACAATTAGCATTTGGGCTATTTGAGCTAAATTTGTTTTCTATACAAATGAATGTTATGGGTGTTAAAATTGTACTGTCTAGTGATGTTTGGTCCAGTTAATATTGTCGTGTTATAATAATATGTACTTCAACGATCAATAGATCGATATTTGTGGCAAGCATTTAGCCTGTACATGTACAGTGACTATACTCGTCTCGTCCAAAAGACATCCATCATTATAACATAGACTACCATATATTAGAGAGACACAAGCGAAGAATAAAATAAATTTATTTAACAATAATTAAATGAAATAAAAATGACAATATCGCACTAAAAATACCTGTCACTATCATTTCTCTCAAAATGTACACAAATTCACACTAATCTCACCTAAACAAGTTTTGTGCCAAACAATAACCTATCCCAGATTTAAACAAATGATGACTGAAATAATCGTCCATGGCGGATCCGGAGGCGGGATTCAAGGGATTAAACCACCTCCACCCCCAGCGCCCCTACTTTGGAAATCCACAACCAGTGAAAACTTCTCTCCCCAGCGAGGGAAGAAATAGTTCGTTTGAGAAAATCTGGATCCGCCTCTGATTATTAATAATGGATAATAAACATACATCCAATAAAATACACGTATACTTCTTGTCAGATTTGGCATTTGTTGTAAAATCATTCCCGGGGCAAATACATGCGCTTGATATTTTTTTTTTTTTTTCGTTTTTTTATGACTAAGACATCTTCATTTATTTATATCATCTATCCTGTTTCCATATTTAAAAAAGGTGTATATTATGTACGCTGTGGTGAGTATTACCGTGTTTTATATTATTTTTCAGGGCTTACAGATACCGTGCATACAGAGGCTTCTCAACTTCAAGTCTAGTTTATTAAAAACGTCCCCAAAATAAGGCTGCCAACCCCCTTTTGGTACGCGGGATTCAGGGGTCTATTTAGAGGGTATTCGGTACTCAGCGATGTGATACGCGGGACGTATATGATATCGTGTTTGGTCCGCAGATTCAACATTTATTAAAATTTAATGGCGTACGCAAAGGCTTCCTTACAGAAAATGAAGCAATATTTAAGACAGTACAACATTATATATGTACAACTAAAATATTCATGTAAAGAACTGTTCATTCAACAATGCATATCTCCCCCCTCCCAAGGGTGAGCAAATGAGATAATTAGATGGTATTACCGATTCAAGGGAGGGGGTGTTGGAACCCTAAAAAATGTAGAAAGGTTCACCCTGCATGTTTTGTCAATAAAATAGGAGAGATAACAACGAAATCACACATAACTCTTTTTTGTGTAAATATGTACTTTGTAAGAATATTTAAAAGGTTGATTTTTTAATAGATCTCCTTTCAGTCCGTATATACATAATAAAGTGTTAAACGTTTTGGTATAATGTGAGGATTATTATATAAAAATCGGCGCTGTTTGAAAATATTAATCCGATATATAGCATATTGTATAACAAATTAAAATAGGTTTTTACAACAGGCGTTGACTATATATTCCTTACTATCTCATAGATGTGGAAATGAAGTCAAATAAATTTTGTATATGATATTCAAAAATGTTTCCAGAAATACATAAGTACTTTCACCAACTTAATTATTGCTCTCGGTGTTTAGCAGACATTAGTATCTACAAGGAAGCTAAAAGGTATATGAAGTAGTACGTTGTAATTACTTTCTTGATATTTTTGTACGTGTTTTAATTCCTTCATAGACATGTGTGTCCATATTTGCTGTAGGAATTGCATACATATTTCCGTCCGTACTTTGGCAAGTATTTTCATAGAAATTGACATCCCTGTTCTCGAAGGGAACTGCATACACATTCTCATCCGTGACATGATCTGGTTTATCTGCATCACTGGCATCGACTTGAGTCACTGGTTCATGAATAACGTCATAATGTCTGTCTTCACCCGCCTCCGAAACGTCGGCGAGTTGTACCGCCTGTCCTGCCCCCAGACCGTCTGTTGTGGAGGGTACCTTGGCCCCAGAGTTCGTGGAAGTCTTCCTTGAGCGTCTTCTAAACGATAAAAGAAATTAAAACAAACCAACTTAATCTGCATATTTTGTATGTCAGTTAAGGGAACTAATTGCCCAATCTAAGGCGACGTTAATCGCTATGCGGAGTAGTGTCCCTTGGGCATACCAGGACCCCATGGTTGTCGGTCCAAATCCAATACTCACCCTGAATATGATTCTAGGATCTTCATTATCATATCAGAGGTCGTTGCATCCACAGCTACAGGTTCTCCCCCACAAGCGACGTAAAACGTAAATCCAAACACACTCCCTCACATACTGTATTAATATCATGCTTGATTAATCATGTCAGCTAACGTTATTGGTAAGCCTACAGAGACACCTATGTCACGGCGTGTCAGCTAACGTGAGCCGTAAGCCTAAAGTGACACCTATGTCACGGCGTGTCAGCTAATGTGATAAGTTAGCCTAAAGAGACACCTATGTCACGGCGTGTCAGCTAATGTCATTTGTAAGCCTAAAGTGACACTTATGTCACGGCGTGTCAGCTAATGTGATCGGTAAGCCTAAAGTGACACTTATGTCACGGCGTGTCAGCTAATGTGATTGGTAAGCCTAAAGTGACGCCTATGTCACGGCGTGTCAGCTAATGTTATTGGTTAGCCCAAAGTGACACCTATGTCACGGCGTGTAAGCTAACGTGAGCCGTAAGCCTAAGGTGACGCCTATGTCACGGCGTGTCAGCTAATGTTATTGGTTAGCCCAAAGTGACACCTATGTCACGGCGTGTAAGCTAACGTGAGCCGTAAGCCTAAAGTGACACCTATGTCACGGCGTGTCAGCTAATGTGATTGGTTAGCCCAAAGTGACACTTATGTCACGGCGTGTCAGCTAATGTTATTGGTTAGCCCAAAGTGACACCTATGTCACGGCGTGTCAGCTAATGTGATTGGTAAGCCCAAAGTGACACCTATGTCACGGCGTGTCAGCTAATGTGATTGGTAAGCCTAAAGTGACACTTATGTCACGGCGTGTCAGCTAATGTGATTGGTAAGCCTAAAGTGACACCTATGTCACGGCGTGTCAGCTTATGTGATTGGTAAGCCTAAAGTGACACCTGTGTCAGGGCGTGTCAGCTAATGTGATTGGTAAGCCTAAAGTGACACCTATGTCACGGCGTGTCAGCTAATGTGATTGGTAAGCCTAAAGTGACAGTTATGTAACAGCGTGCCACCTTACTTCTGCATCCTCACCTTTTTATCGCCAAGGACAGGCCCAGTATGGTACATGATATAATCACGACTGGCGTCAAACTATATATGAGTATGTATGGCCAAGTTTGGTTTTCTGCACTCTTCAACAGCTCTCCACCTGACAAACACAATCAAATGCTAAGGTTTAAATTAGGACTAATCTATGCCCTCTCTCTCAATTCAAAACATGTGTGTGTGTGTGTGTGTGTGTGTGTCTGTGTGTGTGTGTGTCTGTGTGTGTGTGTCTGTCTGTCTGTCTGTTTGCGTCTGTTTGTGTGTGTGTGTCTCTGTGTGTGTGTGTCTGTGTGTGTATGTGTGTTTGTGTGTGTGTGTAATTAGTTGATCTAAAAAGACTGTTAATCCAACAGCGAAATTGGTGCAGAAGAGGAACTTGAATTATATTTGCTAAGACCGTCAAATAGAATGTGATCCTTGTCCTCCTTTAATCTCACTAATGTTAAACCGGTATTTCTTGTAATGCTCGTACTATTTAACTGCTAGCAGCACGCCGGTCTTCCTGGCAATGTGACACTGACACAACTTACCTTGTTCCGGTTCGGTGTTTGTGACATTTTCCAACGTGGTTGACGTCCGAGGTGTCCCTGATGGTTAGAAATATGTCCAGTATTGGTGTCATGCAAACTTCACAGTTCTCGGATTGACGTTTATAATGCTTCTGATATTGCTTGTTATTGAGTATTTGAGTAAGGACGGCGTTTTGCCGCGCAAATAAGAAATCGTGTCATGTTGATTTACATTAAACCTGTTAACATTTAGAACTTTATGTCATCGACTACCAATTTCTGACTACCAGTTTCTGACATAAAGAAGATGTTGGACTAACGTGGACTTTATTATTTATTATAAACTGACGTCCAAAAGAAACTTTACCAACTGAAAATATAAATTTCAGACAAAGTATAAAAACATTTTCAATGAAGTCTATCTAAAACACATAACCTAAATACAACAATAGTGTATGCAGAAAATGTTAATCGTCTGTTACATGTTTGCGAGATAACACTGCAAATGCACGTGCGGGTAAGGGTATAAAACGATTGCAACGGCAAGCCAGACATCCACAGTGATAAAAAAAACCACAAAAGAAATGCCACGACTCACAGTCGAACAACGTGAACGAGCCTTGGGTATGGTACAGATGGGAGCCACACACGCCCATATTGCACGAACCTTCGGTTGCTCCCGTGTTGCCGTTACCAACTTGATGCAACGTTACAGACAGACAAGGCGCACCGCTGACAGGCCAAGAACAGGCAGACCCAGAGTGACCACGCCCCATGATGACCGGTACTTGCGTCCCTTGCACCTCCGAAATCGCTTCCTAACAGTGACGTCATCGGCGACAAATGCCTTAGGTCACAGGGTTAGTCGACAGACAGTGGCCAGGAGACTCAGGGCTCATGGAATCAGGGCTTTTAGACCATACAGAGGACAGCTGTTGACAGCGCAACATCGTCGTCTGCGATTGAGATGGGCCCGGACTGTACGACGTTGGCAACGACATGACTGGCAGAGGGTTGTCTTCACTGACGAAAGTCGATTCTGTAAGTTTAGGGCTGATGGAAGACAACGTGTTTACCGCCGAAGGGGTGAACGAACGGTGGCGTGTTGCGTGCAGGAGGTCGTGCCACATGGTGGAGGGAGTGTCATGGTGTTGGGAGGGAGACTGTGACACTGCTGGTCGAGCCCGTCATACTGGGTGTCGAGGTACGAGTTTTACCTGTAAGGGAGACTGTGACACTGTTGGTCGAGCCCGTCATACTGGGTGTCGAGGTACGAGTTTTACCTGTAAGGGAGACTGTGACACTGTTGGTCGAGCCCGTCATACTGGGTGTCGAGGTACGAGTTTTACTTGTAAGGGAGACTGTGACACTGTTGGTCGTGCCCGTCATACTGGGTGTCGAGGTACGAGTTTTACTTGTGAGGGAGACTGTGACACTGCTGGTCGAGCCCGTCATACTGGGTGTCGAGGTACGAGTTTTACTTGTAAGGGAGACTGTGACACTGCTGGTCGAGCCCGTCATACTGGGTGTCGAGGTACGAGTTTTACTTGTAAGGGGGACTGTGACACTGGTGGTCGAACCCGTCATACTGGGTGTCGAAGTACGAGTTTTACCTGTGAGGGAGACTGTGACACTGCTGGTCGAGCCCGTCATACTGGGTTTCGCGGTACGAGCTTTATCTGTGAGAGAGAGTGTGGCAGCGTTGGCTGGCCTCATTGTACTCTGGGTCGATGCCTCTGGAGATATTTGAACTGCTGGTAGAAAATACATGTAAACCTATCATTAACACGTAAGAGTGAAATAAAGGCATTTATCATACCTCCATGTCAGAATGATGCGATCTAATTAGACCACGTTATCTTTATAAAATATTTTATCATAACTCAGTGTCAGAATGATGACATCTGATTTTGGTCCACGTGATCTTGATAAAATACTGTGTAACCCGCCTTGAAGGGTAATCAGTTTCTCAGCGGGGGAATATATCTCGTATACCCCGCCACGAAATATACAGACTGCACGTGGATTTCTGTCGGCGTCACTACCACTGTATTTTACACTCCCATTCACGTGATTTCGTGATTTGAGAAATAATAATAATAATTTACAGTGATCATTATCAATTATTTGGCAAGTCTAGCTGGCCCAGACTTGCATTGTTCTGGACTCCATATAGATTATTCTTTCTATTTTGTAAATATATATTTTAAAATAAGATAACATTATTTCGGGGATCAGTGTTCACTCGGTTTCATTCTCATCACCCTGGGGAGTATTCAATCATGATGGATATCTGTTTCCTATTAATACGATTATTCCGATTATGAGCGCACATTTGCAACAATTATATATACAATAAGTGAGGTTGTATTCGTGAATGTATTATATGATAACTACATATACACACCTCTAAAGCTTACAGTCCAGTTCGCCTGATGGAAAGTAGTGCCTATATCCCATATTAACGACCGACTACCATTCGTTCCAAGCGATCTGAGGCGTGTAACATAACCCCTTTACTTAGTTGAATAATGTGGAAAATAAAAACATTATGATGCAGCTGATTTCGTGTCTATGTTGACTAATATATAACTTAAAGTTAACATTTCGTAATTATTATCATATGAATCTTTTACTTCCTAGCTGTACAACACTGATGATTGTTCAATGATTGTGATTTTCAATATTCATTTTTAAATATTATTTTAAAATAGTGTTGAAATTAATAAATGGAAATGGAATGGATGAATGAATGAATGAATGAATGAATGAATGAATGAATGAATGAATGAATTCTAATTCAATTAATTAATGTTTTCTGTCTTTATTGTCTCTTTGCACCACCAATGAATCTACAATTTATTCATCTCTATACTGACGTTCCTGCATGCTAAAAAGGCTGATGTAGCAAGCTCACAGATCCTTAAACAACTGAATATTTTAATACACTAATAGTTTGTTACCTGATACCGGCATTTGTATTGTGCAACGACGTCCTGCCCAACCAAGTCTGCATTTGCATGTGCCGTCATCAGGATTACACCCCCGCGACTGGCACCAGGTACTACACCTCTTACACATCCGTGCGTACACGTAATAACCATACCTGCATCCTGCACAACAAAGCCTTGTGTTAGCAGCATCAATTATACAGAGCACGATGAATTAAATAACAGCATTATCAACAACAAAGCGGTGTATAAATTACGTCAGTTAAGGGTATGACATCCTATGCATTATGAACAATAAAAAGCGTTTTATAATTTGTATTTGTATAAACCTGTATACAATAAGAAAATAATAGGCGATGAAATAGACATACTGATTGTACAACGACGTCCTATCCAGCCCGATTTACATCTGCATGTGCCGTCATCAGCATCACATCTGCCCAACTGACACCCAGACCCACACGCCACACAACTGTGCCCCTGCACATACCCGTCAGTGCATTGTGCAAAGCATAGTGCATCAACATTTAATCAATAAATAATTATCGACAAATAAGTGAATGTCATGCAGTACTTTCGCAAATACGCATCTCCTGAAGGTAGCAATCGAGACCTAATTCTAAGACCTGGCTAATCTAAACAACGAGCACTTTTTAGCAACACAAGAGTTTCCCACCCGTAGGTCCTAGAACAAAGTGGTAATATACAAATTATTACAAAAACACTGCTTTTGCACAAAAAAGGAAAATTAAACTGACGTAGTTAGGTCACGTGCTAATTGAGGTTTTCCAGTCCTTTGGTATTGGTCGATGGCTTCCTTTAAAAGCACATCTGGTAGCCGTGTAATATCCAATATAGCGAAACCTCACTAAGTCGAACCCCATTATCTCGATGTATCGTTTAAGACATTGCATGCTCACTGTAGAATCTTTATCGGAATTATTGTTAAAATACAACTCCGCCTCTGTCGAACTACGCATAACTCGAAATCTATTCCACTATAATCATCAGGACTTCGAGTTAACGAGATATATGTGTATTGTACATTACTCAGAAAAATGACATACTTGTTTTGCAGCCACGTCCGGCCCACTGAGCTTTACAGCTACAGCTACCATCATCATTACATCTCCCGTCCTTACAGCCAGCAGCACACGATGTACAGCTTCCTTCCTTATAATAACGGCGGCCTCCTGATCTGCATCCTTATTTACAAGAGACGTAATTCTTAATTTCTGTACCGTTGGAATGAGACAACAGATGTCTGTTTAACTACAGATCACACTGCCCATCAATTTGGCCTTTGTTGTTGTTTACAGCCGTAGTATTCCCGTTATATGACAGTGCGAGTAAAACCAGTGATTGATATTGTCAGCAACGATCCAGGCCATCGGGATATCAACCAAGTTCCCTTGTCAGTTTGTTTGTTAATTTGTTGTTTAACGCCACACTCAGCAATATCCCAGCTATATGACGGCGGTATGTAAATAATTGAGTTTAGACCAGACAATATAGTGATTGACATCATGAGCATCTATCTATGCATCAAACCAAGTCAGCGAGCCTGACCATCAGATCCCGTTAAGCAAAGTCGCCTCTTACGGCAAGCATGGGTTGCTGAAGACCGAATCTTCACGAGTCTACCTAGTCAGACTACAAAGTGGGATATTGAAGCAAAATAATGTCATACCTATGAGTTTGTGTAAATCAAGCAGTGCCAGCTTTATCAAGATGTGTAACCTTTATGAGGGGAATGCTGAAGGTGGCGCATTTCGTGGACCTTTGCCACTTTGATTTAACATCAAGCACGGACCGATCATTATCGGGACAAATACGGGATTCGAACCAACGATCATATGATTCTGACAGTGCTAAGGGACGGAACTCTGCATAGTGAAATAAGGCTGCGTAAACCACTAGGCCACAGCTAGAACATAATGTACTCATACATTAAACGTAGGTCATTTGATATACACATGTATGTCGATTCAGAGGTTTTGGTTGTCAGAAATGTCACATTTCTTGTGCAGTATTAAAAAAATTGTCCCTTGCGAGTTAGACACTATTCAAAACGTCAACGCCACGGAATAATCAATCTCGAATATCGGTCGAAAAAGATTTTATAGGGTGTAAAAGGCAACTTAGTCAAATGATTTATGTGAATTGCTCACTGAAAATCAGTGATGACACTACGTGTAAGTGGAGTGATTGAGGACGTGTGAAAACTCCCTGTAAAGGACATTAAATGACACAGCATCGCGAATCATGCAAACAAGCGACGTGTCATTTTGGTTAAATTCCTCTGAATGTCTACTATAAATTGTTTGGAATGACTTCACTAAGCCTTTAATGAAAATCGAAAAGTGAAAAGCTTGACTTTCTATGACCACAGTATTTAGTTTCAAACTGACACTGGGGTTATAACCTAAATACCACTACCAAATACCTGACTCCGCCTCACGTACATTATTATTATTTTTATTTATTTAAAAAAAATCTTTATTCACATTTCAAATAATATACAATGTGTAACATTTCATCAATTATACATTATTCATAAAACCAATCCATTTACATCAACCTTTTGAAACCTATTGCAAATATAGACAATCATAAAGTCACGTACATTATACGCTTAAGCCTCTAAGGGCATCTTGAAATGTGATAATGATTTTCTTCCGGACAACACCGACCGAATTATTGAGGCTTCACTTTAGTCGCAAGGTGAATCACTGTGTTCCTGGTTTGTAAAGTCTTAACAAAATGACAGCTGTTCTCACAAAAGTATCAAAATGCATATTTGAACAAGGATGTAATGTAGTACTGATATTTGTCCAAAATACGGGCATGGTATTCAGTACCGAATAGCGACATGACGGTTGGGATTTACATCGTGCATTTAACCAGGCGCTATTAACAGTAGTAACTCGTAGCGCGTTATCCAATATATACACATCAACATTTACTAATTGTCAACAGTAAAGAAAATTGATGAAGACATTGACGTCAGTGAACAAAGCAATAAATATATTTCCTTAAGTCAAAAGACAGCATATGTTACATGTCATGTGAAGATAGAGAGTTAGTTAGGTAATGAAACCTACCATTTGTTGGCCTGCACTGTAACAAAAGAACTAATATAAAAATGAAGATGAGGTTAGCCATTGCTCTTGCTTCGCGTAATGACAACTGATGAGCCTCGTGTCGCTCCCTGGCAAACTAGGGATGTAAATGTCAATTAGAGTCCTGGTATATGTATATATACGTGTAATACCACATACTATAAACCGATACAAGACACGAATGTACATTATTCTACTTCCTCAATTCTGAGTGTGACACGAGGACAATTAGTAATTATAGGTCATATGTCACATACAGTCCCATATTATGTCACAGAGTATCAAGGTCGTAGCACATCAAATATGTAATGAGTATCAAGGTCCCAACACTTCAAATATGTACTGACTGTATATAAAGGCCCTAACACATTAGATATGTACAGAGTATCAAGATTCTAACACGTCAGTTATATACAGAGTATCAAGATCCTAACACGTCAATTATATACAGAATGTCAAGGTCCTAACACATCAAACATGCACTGACTGTGTATTAAGGCCCTAACACTTCAAATATATCAAGGTCCTAACAAATTAACTTATACAAAGTACCAAGGTCCTAACACATTAACTTATACAGAGTATCACGGTCCTAACACATTAACTTATACAAAGTATCACGGTCCTAATACATTAACTTATACAAAGTATCACGGTCCTAACACATTAACTTATGCAGAGTATCACGGTCCTAACACATTAACTTATACAGAGTATCAAGGTCCTAACACATTAACTTATACAGAGTACCAAGGTACTAACACATTAACTTATACAGAGTATCACGGTCCTAACACATTAACTTATACAGAGTATCACGGTCCTAACACATTAACTTATACAGAGTATCACGGTCCTAACACATTAACTTATGCAGAGTATCACGGTCCTAACACATTAACTTATACAGAGTATCACGGTCCTAACACATTAACTTATACAGAGTATCACGGTCCTAACACATTAACTTATACAAAGTATCACGGTCCTAACACATTAACTTATACAGAGTATCACGGTCCTAACACATTAACTTATGCAGAGTATCACGGTCCTAACACATTAACTTATACAGAGTATCACGGTCCTAACACATTAACTTATACAGAGTATCGCGGTCCAAACACATGTACATCAAATATGTACTGACTGTGTATCAAGGCCCTAACACATTAGACATGTACAGAGTATCAAGATTATAACACGTCAATTATATACAGAGTATCACGGTCCTAACACGTCAATTATATACAGAGTATCAAGGTCCTAACACATCAAATATGCACTGACTGTGTATTAAGGTCCTAACACATCAAATGGGTACAGAGTACCTGGGTCCTAACATATTATCTATGTACAGAATATCAAGGTCCTAACACATCAAATATATGCAGAGTGTCAAGGCCCTAACACATCAAATATGTACAGAGTATCAAGGTCCTAACACATCAAATATGTACAGAGTATAAAGGTCCTAACACATCAAATATGTACAGAGTATCAAGGTCCTAACACATCAAATATGTACAGAGTATCAAGGTCCTAGCACATCAAATATGTACAGAGTATCAAGGTCCTAACACATCAAATATGTACAGAGTATCAAGGTCCTAGCACATCAAATATGTACAGAGTATCAAGGTCCTAACACATCAAATATGTACAGAGTATCAAGGTCCTAACACATCAAATATGTACAGAGTATCAAGGTCCTAACACATCAAATATGTACAGAGTATCAAGGTCCTAACACATCAAATATGTACAGAGTATCAAGGTCCTAACACATCAAATATGCACAGAGTATCAAGGTCCTAACACATCAAATATGTACAGAGTATCAAGGTCCTAACACATCAAATATGTACAGAGTATCAAGGTCCTAACACATCAAATATGTACAGAGTATCAAGGTCCTAACACATCAAATATGTACAGAGTATCAAGGTCCTAACACATCAAATATGTACAGAGTATCAAGGTCCTAACACATCAAATATGCACAGAGTATCAAGGTCCTAACACATCAAATATGTACAGAGTATCAAGGTCCTAACACATCAAATATGTACAGAGTATCAAGGCCCTAACACATCAAATATGTACATAGTATTAAGGTCCTAACACATCAAATATGTACAGAGTATCAAGGTCCTAACACATCAAATATGTACATAGTATCAAGGTCCTAACACTTCAAATATGGAACACATCAACTATGACCGTGTGGTAATATATCACATTGTTGTTGCAATTAAAACTATGGTAACAGCTGCTGTTAAACGTCTGGCTGTAACATATACACTTCCCATATCTAACATATATGCACTGTATATCAGGATATTTGCAGGTCACACCACAGTCCCCCTATTGTGAACGATGAAAGTTCACAATAGTCCACTTAAAAATGATAAGGAACTCGAGATGAATTCAACGGGTCTGGTAATGGAAACAAAATGTGATGTTAGGACACTGGTTCACACCCTAGTTCCCAAACCTCACGAGCAAGTTGTTGAAGAGGCGGTAAAAGGTTCGATTATACCGTAGTCATTTATGCATTACAGACTCTCAGGTGTGTGGACACTGCTTCATCATATATCAAACACACGGTTATAATCAGATATGAAAGTACGTAACAAAACCGGCCCCATATACCCTATTCCCCATTTCACAATCAAATAAATAATTGTTATTATTCAAATATATTACTTTCGACAATAAAAGTTCTTTTGCAACGATTTATCCCTTTGTTCTGTCACTGTTATATACGATATTGTATATGCGTTTAATTCAACATAACACAAAAGTGCCGAAAATGGGGCAGGAATAAAAATATCTTTTTAACTCGAACCACAGTTTGTTTGTCTGTTTCTTTGTTTCTTTGTTTGTTTGCTAACGCCGCCTCAACAATCGTCCAGCTACATGACGGCGGTCTGTAAATAGACGAGTCCAGACAAGCCAGTGACTGATATCATGAGCAACGACCCAAGCCGTCGGGAAACAATGACACGCAATCAACTAAGTCATCAACATTGGAAATTGACGGAACTAGTTCTTGCTATGGCATTCCAGTGAGTGATTGCAATTATTTTTCAAAAAGAGCTGGGCTCGAACCCTCATCTCCCGATTTGAGGAAGCGTAAAAGCCAACTCCCCAAGGACGACGGCTGACGGACAAATTATTGGTTGTATACTCCCCAGGGAGATGAGAATGAAAATCGAGTGCATACTGATCCACTGACCGGGGTAATAATAGTGTAGCGCTATGAGCATCTACTTGGTGAATGGCATCTGGCGCATTATTAATGCACTTATTATATTATTGTTATTGTTGTTGTTGTTGTTGTTGTTGTTGTTGTTGTTGTTGTTGTTGTTATTATTATTATCATCATCATCATATCATTTTTATTATTATTATTAAATGTAAAATCAACAGAAGCATAATACTATTCATGATCTTTAAATGTACAAACGATTAAATAAAGTAGCATCTGAAAACGCATGAACTTTGCACACGTCTGTCACTTATAGCGATCTATTCCACGTGTACTACGCATGGACAACTTAACACAGGGTAAATTTAAATTACATAGAGTTCTGGTATATCTTTTTTAAAAAATTTCACAAAATGATGTTCTATTATGTCAGATAAGGAATGTTTTGTTTGTTGCTTTTACGCCTCACCTCAGCGATCTGGATCAGGGATCAAGCCAGGGTAACACATTAACATTGTTGTCCACCGCAAATGTTGTCAACAGCACTGGAGACGTTCACGTTGATGTTCTGCCGTTATGATTGGATGTCTGGGTGGGCGTTCGAACAGATGAGGTAGATGCGCAGACGTCGTCGGAATGTCTTCGCAAGGAAGTTGGTGTCTGGAACCTGTGTCACTGATGGGCGGCCTCTGCGGGAACGGTTTCTGACGTGGTTGTTCCGTTGGTAACGACGCCAGAAGTGCCATATGGTGTTCCCGTGGACGTTGAATTGACGTCCGACGTCACACTGCGAGATACGAGGGCAGGTCAAAAAGTTCTAAGCCAGACTAACTATATGGGCCATAACAAAGTGAACTAGTCAATGTAGTACATTGTTAAAGTAGTTCATTGCAAGTGTATTTGGTCTGTTGAGGCCGTTTGTATATTAGTGACAGCCACTTGAACGTGATAGGGGTCTAAATGGACACAGAAATGGAAGAGAACGAGGACCGAAGTCAACAAGTTTTTTTACTTTAGAGTACTCCTCAAGAACTTCATGACAGCATGTCACAATGGTATGGGTATACGTACCCTAGCTATTCCACTGTTAAACGCTACGCGGCTATGTTTAAGGCTGTGAGAACAAGCCTTGATGGTGACCCTAGGTCTGGACTTCCATCAATCAATATTCAATCAAGGAGATAGAAAAAAACTTATACTGTCAGATAGACATATTACCATTGCTGAACCTGAGGAAGACACAGGTCTAAGTCACGGATCCATTAAAACTATTATTCTTGAACATTTACAGATGCATAAGATATCTGCTCGTTGGATGCCAAAGTTTCTAAATTCTGATTTCAAGGAAGAAAGAACTGACATTGCCAGAGAATATTTAGAGCTAACTGAGGAGGATTTCGTCAAGTTCAAAAAGAGATTAGTAAGGGGTGATGAAACATGGGTCTACCACTACGAACACGAGTCAAAACGTCAGTCCATGGAATGGCACCATTCCACTTCTCCGGCACCAAAGAAATTCAAATCTACAAGCTCAGTCTTGCTGAACTCTGATCTTCCGAAGAAGTGGCTAGCAGTGACAATGATATTGGTTGTCTGGCATTTTATATAGAGATAAACGCGTCAAAAGCTTTCCATAATTAAAAAATCTCAACTAAAAGTAGAATCTATTGCACGATTCTGACTATATCATAAGCATGTATTGACACCAGGTGTTTGTGAATAGGTCAGCGTATCCCGCCCCATTGGTGGCACTGGTCACAAACACATGAAAAGTCAAGTCAGTTGTTTACCTGAAAAGAAACTGAACATATGGCACAATAAGGAATTGCACCCGACATAATTTTTGTCATTGATGCGTACAAATTTGGACATTTGCTACCACCACACACTTGAATGCTTTATTAAGAACTTGAATGTTGTAACCCTGATCAAACAAACTTTAAGCAAGAGTCGTATGACGTTCTTTGAAATCTACGAAAGAAGAG